CTCCTCCTCCACCTCATCCTTTTCCTTCACTTATTCTTGATTCTCCTTCTCCTCATTTCCTTCCTCCTTCTCCTTCTACCTCCCACCCTTATTTGCCCTAACGCTACTTGGGGAAGGGGGGAGCAGGTTAGGTTAGGTTAGGTTCTGCTTTGATGACCTAACCTAACGTAACCAAACCTAACCTAACCTAACCATACCCAACCAAACCAAACCTAACCAATAAACTCTTTCTCAAACGCGTAAGATGCAACAGGAAACTGACACAATCCTTGCAATGAAATCCTCCATCTGGTCACTGATAGACGCCAGGTGAGGGCAATTAGCGGAGGTGAGCAATGGCAGGTAAGTGAATCTTGAAATGTCAGTTTTAAGAGAGCACTTACCATGAAGGTCACATTGACGCTAGATCGCTCGTGATGGCTGACAGAAGCATCGCCTGGCGTTAATACCACAGAGAGAGGAGAGAAGAGAGAAGGGAGGTAGGGAGGCAGGGAGGGAAGGGAGAAGTTAAGTGGTTTGGTACCCTTAATATAATAGTTTTTTATGTGTATTAATATATTAACCTCTCTCTCTCTCTCTCTCTCTCTCTCTCTCTCTCTCTCTCTTCTCTCTCTCTCTCTCACTTATTCTTATCTATTATTGCTTTCCACTTATTATTGTTCTCATATCATTAATTCTGTTTATCTCTCCTGTTTCTCCCTCTCTTCCCCTTCCCGTTATCATCATCTTTATTTCCATCTAATCTCTTATTCTATTTCATTACATCTTCCGTCTTTCTTCTTTGTCTTCCATTCTCTACGTCAATCACTTTTCTCACTCTATTTATCATTCTTCCTTGTTCTTGTCTCTCTCTCTCTCTCTCTCTCTCTCTCTCTCTCTCTCTCTCTCTCTCTCTCTCTCTCTCTCTCTCTCTCTCTCTCTCTCTCTCTCTCTCTCTCTCTCTCTCTCTCTCTTCCGTTCCTTCTCCTTCCCCGTCCGTTTCTTCTACTCTCTCCCCTCCTTCTCTTTCTCTGTCCTCCCCCCTCTCCCTTTCCTTGCATCTTCGCTCCTCCTTCTTTCTTTCTTCCTCCCTCTCCCTCTCTCTCTCTCTTCTTTCCACTTTACCTCTCCCCGTCCCTTCTTCTCTCTTTCTCCTACCCCCTCTACCTCCCGCCTTTCCTCCCCTTCCTTTACGATTTGCCACCCTCTCCTGGCCTCCTTTCCCCTCTCCCCTCCCCTCCCCTCCCCTCCTCTAACTGCTTCCCCCCACCCCACCTCTCCTCCCACCTCTGCTGCCCCTCTGGGTGCTTCCCCTCCCTCCCCCTCTCCCCAATCTGGGCCATGAACCACCTGGCCGATATCATTTCGCTCTCCCTATCCTCGGCAGAGTCCCTTCTGCTTGCCTCCTCCTCCCCACCTTCCCTCCTCCCCTCCCCATCCTGCTCCCCTCCCCACCTTCCCTCCTCCCCTCCCCATCTGCTCCCTTCCCTCCTCCCCGCCCTGTTTCTTTTCCCAAATTCCCCTCCCCAATCTGTCTCGCCCTTTACTCCCCTTTAAACCTCCCTTCCCTCAGTCTCTACTCATGCTTGTCTCCCCAACTAGTCTCCCCAGCTCCCCCTCCCCATACTGCCGGTCCTACTAACCTTCACCAGCCAGGACACGTGTGACCTACTGACGTTCTTGTCTGTAGTGCTAGTGTCTCTCTCTCTCTCTCTCTCTCTCTCTCTCTCTCTCTCTCTCTCTCTCTCTCTCTTCTCCCAAGTGTTGTTCTCTCGCTCCTCATCAACTACCCATCTGTCTGTCTGTCTGTCTGTCTAGTTTAGGAGTCAATTGGTTGGCTGAAGTCGGTTCTCTAGATTAAGAGGTTGTTGATCTAGCAGTGTTAGTGGTCCTGTTGTGGTGGAGTCAGGTGTAGGTGGTGTCAGGTGTAGGTGGTGTCAGGTGTAGGTGGTGTCAGGTGTAGGTGGTGTCAGGTGTGGGTGGTGTCAGGTGTAGGTGGTGTCAGGTGTAGGTGGTGTCAGGTGTGGGTGGTGTCAGGTGTAGGTGGTGTCAGGTATGGGTGGTATCAGGTGTGGGTGGTGTCAGGTATGGATGGTGTCAGACGTGGGTGGTTTCAGACGAGGCTGGTGTCAGGCAAGGGTACTGTCAGAGAGGGATGATGTCAGGCGCGAGTGGTGTCAGTGACCCACTGGTTTGGTGTCAGCTGGGGGTCAAACATGGTGGTATTATATTGCAGTGAGTCTCAACCCTTCTCAGTACAGTCTTGACCTCCCCTAGTGACCTCTGACCTCTGGAATGATAAGCACACACACACACACACACACACACACACACACACACACACACACACACACACACACACACACACACACACACACACACACACACACACACACACACACCTCTAACAACTTACTTATAAAATCAATTAAGAATATCCCAATCAGGTGTTCTAATCACTAATTAAAACAAATCCCCAAATACCTTTAATTAACTCAGGTAAATTATATCATCCTATTCACCTGTGTTGATATATTAAGTCATAGATAAGGTTAATTGTCTCAAAACTTACTTAGAGGATTACTGAAGATGTTTATTACTATCATCATTCGTTAATAATAATAATAATAATAATAATAATAATAATAATAATAATAATAATAATAATGATAATAATATAATAATAATAATAATAATAATAATAATAATAATAATAATAATAATAATAATAATAATAATAATAATAATGTATACAAAAAGGTGACCGCCATTGCATACTTAACCCCTTGAGTACGATCATTTAACCCCTTGAGTACGATTACTTAACCCATTGAGTAAAATGGTTTACCCCTTTGAGTACGATAACTAATACCCATGAGTACTACGATGATGTATTGTACTGAGGGCTGTTTAGTCATCGTAGTCATAGGGATAAGTCATCGTACTCAGGTGGCTAAGTCATTGTACTCATCACACCCAGGTAACCTAATTAGCATCCCCTTTAATTAAACTATAACAATCATCATTTTCCCACCAATTCTAATATTTGTTTTGTCTTGCCAACACTACCAACACCTGCCAACACCTACCAACACCTGCCAACACCTACCAACACCTACCAACACCTGCCAACACCTACCAACACCTGCCAACACCTACCAAAACCTGCCAACACCTACCAACACCTACCAACACCTGCCAACACCTGCCAACACCTGCCAACACCTACCAACACCTGCAAACACCTTTCCCTCGTAAGCAATTAAGTTTTATCGTCTATATTTTAATCTGGTAAAATTACAGTTAGTTGGTATTTTCTCTGTATTAAGTACTGCTGTCAGGATTAATTTGTCGGTGATGAACAATATTTCTAAAGTATACATTATTATACAGTCTAATACAGCATGAAATATACATCATACATCCTTATAGTACACCTTACACCCCCCCCTTATAGTAGAGATCATACACCCACAGTACACTACTCATACACCCTCATACTTAGGTAATACACGGAGTATACAACCCTAAGTGACCATATACACACGCCATACTGTCCTGTCACCCAAGAACACGACCCTCCAGTACCCGACACGACCCTCCCTACACTCGTCTCTGGGGTCGTGGCGCCGCCCATGTGACACAGGTGACCTCCAACCCCTACCAACACCTGTCCACCCCCCCCTCACTAATACACCTGTTCGGCTGATCTCTTAATACCGTAATTGGATATTGTTTATTATTGTAATGGAGTAAATACAGCTATGGGGAAACATGGAGTCTTGTAAGAGAATATTCTACTCTTTAAACAAAATTACTGTAGTATATTTGACTAATATTATATACCCAGTATATGGAGCAACTAATTCAGCTATAAAAATCTTACATATAAAACATTAATAATACTAACAAAACTATGAAGTAAATCTTATGACATCAATAAATGCTCTTCACAAATGTCATTCAACATTAACCCACAAACACAATGTTAGCATTATAATAATAACATTAAACCATAACAATCAATCAGGTGATAAACATCACTAACTATCCTCTTGGCACTAATGAAATAGAGGTCAACTACTAATCACAGGTAATGTTATAACACAGGTGAACCTGGTCAGGTCAGCACTAACTGGTTCACTACTAGAACACGAGTAAATAAATAAATATATATATATCACTAACAACACATAACAGCACATGATTATACATTATAAAATAGTATTAACTTGCTACAGGTGGTGACACACAGGTGTGCTGTCACGACAACACATGTGCAGTAGTCATGTTACCAGGACGACACAACACACGTGCCGGCTGTGTCACAACACCCGCGTGTGACATTGATCAACACACAGGTGGAACAACAGAGAGAGGGACACAGATGGGGTGCAGGACTAAGTGGCGTCATGAACGGTCACACGACACCACAGGAAGTAAGTGCAGTACTAGGTCATAACACTAACAGATGCAGTGATAACACACACACACACACACACACTCACACACACACACACATACACACAGGTGCAAGTTACTACGACCACCTGCCTGGTGACGGGAGCTACACAGGTGTTGTGAGTCACTCCCTCAGTACTTCCTGCTGTGTACTTCCCTTAGGTCTGTTGGGGAAGTAACAGCACTTCCTTAGTTAATCCAGGAAGTAACAGCACTTCCTTAGTTAATCCAGGAAGTAACAGCACTTCCTTAGTTAATCCAGGAAGTTAGAGCACTTCCTTCAGTCTGTTAGGGAAGTTAGAGAACTTTCCTTGGGTGTTATAGTGAAGGAGCACAGCACTTCCTCAAACACTCCAGGACGGCATAAGACAACACTTCCTGTAAACAAAACGTTACTCTCGGAAGGAAGGCTTATGGCTTCCACCCTGGTGCTCTGACAGATGGTGGGGGTGACTACAGCTACCATACAACTAAGGTTAAGTGAGAGGGGGTTAGTAAGGGGGGGGGTGGGACAGTGGCGCCACTATCTGACAGTGACGCCAATAAGTTAAGGTACTCACAAGCTCTGTGAGAGGAAGCTGGAGAGACGCAACTTGCTGAGGGGCGGTGTGCTGGTCATGGTGGTGGTGGTGGTGGTAGTAGTGGTAGTAGTGGTAATTGTTGTGGTGGTCAGGTTCTTTTAAATTCCTCTGTTCTGTCCTCCTTGTTATTCCCGTCTGTTTCCGTCCGCGTGTCCGTCTAAATTCCTCTTCCTTGTGATACGTACGACGGGGGTTGTAGTAGTGGTGGTTGTTGTTGTTGTCTCTTTGTTTTGTTGTTTGTTGTTCTTCTCGACACTAACACTGACACATTCACAGAGACACCGACGAGACTTTGGTTACCTCTCAAACGATCTCTATTTCACTTCTTTATCTTATTTTATTTTACTTTTTCGGGGATCTCTCGACGTGAAGGAGGGGGGGGCGTAGAGAGAGAGACGGGGAGGGGAGATATACTAGAGATACGTGAGAGAGGGAGAATGGTGGAGTTAGGAGAGAAAGAATGACTGAGAGAAATAAAAGGGGTATTGTGGATAATGAGAGATGATAATAGGGAGGAGTGAGAGAAGGAGAGAGACAGAGAGAGACAGAGATAAAGAGACAAGTATCGTAGTTTTAAGCCTGGGTCACATAGATCTCAAATTTGGGATCTTAAATGCCAAAAAATAATCTGATTGAATTCTTCAGATCACTTTCAAAATGTTTTTTTTTTTTTTTTTTTTTTTTTTTTACAGGTAACACTTGTGGTTGGCGCAATAAGGGAGGAATATATCAACAAATTTTGTATATCTTTGTTTCTGTTCTTAAGACACTTTCATGAGGGTGATGATGGACACTCGGGTTAGTTTCCCCTGATCACAGCTCATTCGACTCTGAGAACATTGAACGAGGGGGGAAGTACAACTGGTGTGTAGTATAGAGGCTAGGAAAAAAATATATAATAATGAAAAAACAACAATCTGGCAAAATTGCTCTACAGTTTTTTTCACCTTCTAAAAAAACAAAATAAATTTGACGCCGTCCTCACACACGGAGACCTGACAGAGAGGTTAGTCAGGTAGGGAAGTAGTCTAGTAGTAGTAGTAGCCGTGAGGGAGAGGACAGTGACGAGGAAGGGAAGTCGCCGCACGGGTAGTAGAGTGAGCGCCGAGAATGAGTGACACCGTGAGAGTGAGAGCCCCAGTGAGAGTGAGGGAGAGTGTCGACTGTGTTAAGGCCGCGCGGAGCTCCCGGTACATGTAGCCTGTGTGGCGGCCAGAGCAAGACTGACTGACTGTGTGTGTGTGTGTGACCCCTATCTACCGCTACCCTGCCCCGCTCCTCTGCACCCTCCCCCCGCGCCCCTCACTCACTCCCCTCACTTCACCCTCACCAACTTCTCCCTCCCTCACTCCCTCTTTCTCTTTCTACCTCCCACACTTCCTCTCCTCACTTTTCCCTTACTGGGGCTCTTCCTCCCTCTCTCACTTCCTCCTTCTCTCTCTCTCTCCCTTCCTCCCTCCCTCATTCACTCCCCTCACTCTACCCTTACCACACTCTTCCTCCCTCTTTATCTCCCTTTCTAACTCCTTTACGTCTCCCCTCACTTGACCCTCCTTCCTTCCTTCCTTCCTTCCTTCCTTCCTTCACACACATACCTCCTACCTTCTCTTCCTCCTTCCCTTCACTGCCTCCCTCACCACAACTCTCCCTCCTTCAACATAAATCCTTCATTATTTACCTTTACCTTCTTGTCACTTCCATCATCATCAAATATTCCTTTACACGAGTTATTATCAATATATTTTCCTCACATAAACTTTCCTCCGTATGTATATAGAATGGATTGGTATATGTAATTATGTATATTATGTATGTATATGTATATTGTCCCTTCCTTTACCTTATTATCGTTTCCCTCGATCATCTTTATTACATTTTTCTCCTTTACTTGCTTTCATCACTAATTATCCTTCCCTTTTTCTCTCACCTCGTAAACACTCACCCTCTCTCAGCATCTCAGCGTCAACACCTACCTTGGCATCTCTCTGCGTAGATGATTATACTTACCTGAAATAACAGAGAAAAACGATTATTACACGTAGAGGAAAAACAACAATTAGAAAAACAAGGATAATAATAATACTAATACTAATACTACTACTACTACTACTACTACTACTACTACTACTACTACTACTAATAATAATAATAATAATAATAATAATAATAATAATAATAATAATAATAATAATAATAATAACAAGAAAAAGGCTTTTAGTTACAAAATTAAACAGAGTCTCGGTTGATAATTCAGCGATACACTCACTAGCCACCAACTTGTTACAATACGGATATGAACTCTTGTTTTTTTCCTTGAGAGTCCTCGTACTCAAGGAGATAAATGGACTCGTACTCATGACGTTAAGTCCTCGTACTCAGGTGATAATCCTCGTTTCAAATGATAAAAATCGTCGTACTAATGGGGTTAAAGAGAAAACGTACTCAAGAGGCAAAAAAGTCATCGTACTCAAGCCTCAAAACGTCATCCGTACTCAAGGGATAAAAGGTCATCGTACTCAAGCCTCCGGTCATTGTACTCAAGGGGTTAAGTATTGGAGTCAGGCGGAGGAGGCGTGAAAAAGTGTATGATGCACACACTTAAGTTTCGCTGAACAAGTCATTACCATTGGCGCTCACAACATCCTCAGCTCTCCCCCCCCCCCATAATGCAGTGCTAATTAATATCATAAAAATACAAGGGTCAAGTAAGGTTAATGTGTTTCTCCGTCACATAGATATAGACACAGACAGACAGACAGACAGAAAGACAGATAATAATAATAATAATGGTTGCCCCTCGTGTAACAAGGATGGCCACCTAGGTGTGAATTTGTTTAAGGTGTAGAAACTGTCGCCAACACAACAACCACACCCTAAGTTAACGAGCTGCATGACCCAGTGTCAAGGAATAGTCCAAGAAGACCGGACAACCCGCCAACTGCACAGGCTAACCATTACCCCGGAACACGATCCGCAAATTGATTAACATCCAGGTTCCCAATTACTGCTGGGTAGACAGAGACAAATGGCGTAAAGAAACTTGCCCATAGTTTCACCCTGCCCGGGGATCGAACCTGGGTCCACTCGCTTGCGAGGCGAGCATGCTGACCATTACACACACAGGTCGCCACAGCATACATACATACATACACAAATACATATACATACACAAAAACATACATACATACATACTTGCATACATACACAGTACATTGAAATTTTACGTAGCTGGAGCAAGAATAGTTAAGGAGCTGAAAGAAAGAAAGAAAGAAAGAAAGAAAGAAAGAAAGAAAGAAAGAAAGTAAGGACGGCCAGACAGACGGACATATAACACATCGCCTCTAGACAAAGAACGAGTGTCCCAAATAGCGTGAGAAGGGCTAATTATTCCTCCCTTATTAACTATAGCGACAGGGAGGTGGTAGAAGACACACACACACACACACACACACACACACACACACACACACACACACACACACACACACACACACACACACACACACACACACACACACACACACACACACACACACACACACACACACACACACACACACACACACACACACACACACACACACACACACACACACACACACACACACACACACACACACACACACACACACACACACACGCACGCACACACACACACACACGCGCACACACACACACACACCTTAACCTACCCCTTCCATTTCTTCGTCTTCCTCACCCACTTCTTCCTAAACACATAGACATACTCCCACATGATCAAGTGTTTATGTGTGGACAACAACACACAGTCTGTCGTTGGTTTAGGTGAGTTACCCCTCGTATGTTAAACACAAACACCTATTTTCTGTGGTTCAAGGGACAGTTACTCCCCCTTAAAGGACAATAAACCCCCTCAAAGGACAATAAACCCCCTCAAAGGAGTTACCCCCTTAAGGTGTGGCCCCTTAATGGACAGTAACCCCCCATAAGGGACAGTTACCCCCATAAGGAACAGTTACACCCTTAAAAGACAACACCGCGGAATTTGCCTCGTTTTCAGAGAGAGTTACCTCCTACCTCCCTCACCGTCCTCCCTCCCTCACCCTCCTACCTCCATCACCCTCCTCCCTCCCTCACCCTCCTCCATCCCTCACCCTCCTACCTCCCTCACCCCCCTCCCTCCCTCACCCCTCCTCCATCCCTCACCCTCCTTCCCCTGACCCTCCTCCCTCTCTCACCCTCCTCCCTCCCTCACCCCTCCTCCTTCCCTTCACCCTCCTCCATCCTCACCCTCCCCCCTCCCTCTCCCTCACCCCTCCTCCCTCCCTCACCTCCTCCCTCCCCCCTCCCTCACCCTCCTCCCTTCCTTCACCCCTCCTCCCCCCCTCCCTTCCCTCACCCTCCTCCTTCCCCTCACCCCTCCCCTCCCCTCCCTCCTCCTTCCCTCACCCTCCCTCCCCACCCTCCTCCTCCTCCTCCCCCTCACCTTCCTCCTTCCTTCACCCTCCTCCTCCCCTCCTCCCTCCCTCACCTTCCTCCTTCCCTCACTCTCCCTCACCCTCCTCCCTCACCCTCCAAGGTCAGAGCCAGGAACTCAAGAGTCTCGGGGAGAGTTATACCTCCACGTGTGGCTTTGAGGACGAGGTCATAAAGAACACACGTCGAGTATCACCGAGAGTTGTCAAGGCTGACTTAAAAGTGAAGGGCGAGGCTACAGGTCCTCCTGGCTTTAACCACAGAGTGTGTGTGTGTGTGTGTGTGTGTGTGTGTGTGTGTGTGTGTGTGTGTGAGAAGGGACTGAGTGAATGAATGAATAAGTATCAGTCGCAAAATCCATAGAACACACACAAACACACACACACACACACACACACACACACACACACACACACACACACACACACACACCTGAGCAGCGTCGCCAGCCAGACCTCCTGACGACTACAAGTATTGACTGTGGGAGCGTCCTGTTGGTAACGTGACTTAACAATTACATAAACTTGATGCAGAAAAAAAATATAACTTTCTATTTTCAGTGACATTAAATCATCCACAAACGTGTGAGCATTACAACCTGAAGAATAACTACCCTGATGCTATTTGGTTAGGTTAGGTTAGGTTAGAGTAGGGTAGGTTAGGTTAGGTTAGGTTAGGTTAGGTTAGGTCAGGCGATCGTAATTCCTGTTAAGTGGATTTAATAGAGGTGACATTTCCTTACTAAAGACTGAAGGTATTTGATGCAAGATGATGTGAACTGATGGTGTTTATTTGATATAGGAAACTCAACTCTATATCCAGGTGGTCCATATATAGCCCAGGTATATATGAAGGTGGGTATACGGTACAGCAGGGTGACCAGTAGTAGCTCAGGGTATAACAATGAACTCTGATACATTGAGGATCTGCAAAATGGAAAATCAACAGAGGAGTTATGGGTGAAGGGGGGGGTGGGGAGGGGGAGGGGAGAGAGGGAGGACAGGGATGGGGAGGGAGGGGGAGGAAAGAAGGAGAGGGGAGAGAGGGGGGAGGGGTGTGGAGGGGACTGGGAACGAAGGAAGAAGGAATAAGTGATAAGGATAACACAAAGAAGGAAGAGAATACAAGAGAGAATCTGACTTTAGGTTCAAAAAGCAAAGAGTTTTCTACGCTTTTAACATCATTCAATTTTCAGGTTTTTTCAGGGTTTTTTTTTTATTTACGAGTGTTAAAACATTTTTAAAAACCACAAAAAATACAAATCTGAAGAATTTTTACATCATAATAACTCTCAACTTCACTATGATGAATTCCTGAGGGAGAAAAAAAATATATAATATATTTTGTCTAGCACTCAGGACAACTAAAAAATACATATATATATGTATAAAAAATCCAAAGCTTTTCTACGATTTTTTTCCCAGTTCTTATAAATTTCAAAGTCGATTCTCAGACTGGGTAAAAAAAAAACCTAAATTCCTGTTTTCTTTAAGGTTTCTCAGATATTTGAGGGGATACTGAAGTAATGATTGTAAATAGTAATGAATATGTTGTTATGTCGAGCTTGCGTAGTGTTAATGTTGATGTTTTAAGTTTTTGTATTGGGGGAAGTGATAATAAATACAGTTACATTATAATATTACATAAACAAAGCTGTAACAGACATGATAGCAAGTCGTGGATACAGTTATTTCATATTACAAAACTAAAGAGTTCGATGGTCGGGAAGGTGTGAGGAGGAGGAAGAGAAGGAGGGGGAAGAAGAGAAGGAGGGGGCGAGAAATCAACT